GTTGGTGAAACTAGTCCTGTGGAAATTTTGTAAATATAACGCTGATTTTTGTTGTTTGTCTTCTGAATAAGTTAAAATTAAGTTGGTATATTATACTAATCCACATTATTAAAGCTTACCTTTTCACAAGTAACAATAATTAAAATTGATATCAAAACTAAACGAATAGTTTTATAAATAATAACTCATTATCCAATGGTAGATATAATAGTAGTATAATGACACTACAAGCATTTAATACTGTTCACAGTTCACAAAGATAGCTGAAAATGCATATGATATTTGCGTTTGTAGCATTCCAGTGTAGAATTGGACAAGTGTCATATGCAAGGCTCGTATGGTTTGGGATGGAGACAAAGGCGAACCAACGACACGATTGCGTAACTGCCGTATAAAAAAAAAAAAACTAAAGAACTAACTAAAACCACACACATATGAAGAAAGAAAACGGAGTACTGAAGATTCCCTTCGCGCTTAATGCATAGAAAGCCAACAGCAGTGTCGTCGCTCGCGAAGTCTGCGCCAAAGGCTCCTAATTGATTGATGGGTTCGCCAGCAAGAGACACGGATAAGCCTCAATCGCTCTTCTGCTGGCTACATACTATGAGTCGTGCAAATTACAAACTGGTCACAAGTCAAGTTGTGACGTCACGGTATACATACGAAAACGTCACGGTATACATAGGATAAAAGGGGCAGATTGTTTTCGGATTTATTATTTTATTTTCTATAAAGAATATAATATTAAGTCAATTATAAAAATATTTAAAATTTTTACGTACGCAGTTAGATATGTGTGATTTGCGTATTAAGAACTGTTTTCCCTTCGAGTCCCAATAGACCCCCATTCGACCCCTTGGGTCGGATAGACCCCTACTGTTGTTAAATAGACCCCTAGGGGTCTATATAGACCACTTTGGCGACCCCTGCTCTAATCCATTAATCCAAGGTGGGTTCTGGATATATTTGATGTGACGTGATGTTAGATATAATTTACATAAAGTTAGTGACATAATTTTTGAACTGTCTTACAACGTAGCACATACATCATCGCACTTAACCGAAAACCATTTAGCCGACGAAACACTTAGCCAACAGGACATTTGGCCGGCACACACATTTAACCGGCACGGATGTTTAAGTAAGCGATAGGACACTTAGCGACACGGAGATTCAGCCGACAGGACAGTTAGCCGACACGGACATTCAGTACATATAACCGATATGGACATTTAGACAACTGGACAGTTAGCGGACACGGACATGCACCTGACAAGACATTTAACTGACATAGACATTTAGCCGACAATACATTTAACCAGCATATTAAGCCCTCGGGACACTTAGCCGACAAAACGTGTTAGCCTACTGCAGGTGTAATTGACAACACGTACATGAGAGGAGAAAACATGGAACAGATTTTCAGTAAAATTTGTCCGTTTTTATATGAAACAAGGAAGTAAAAAAATCTGTTTCCAGGGTACCCAACGAGAAGGTTTTTGAATAAGTAGCATACTTTTCACATGAATGTTAAGGAAGCTGTGGATTTTAAAATTAAACAGAAAAGCAACCTTATTTTGGCTTTGAAATCAGGTTCGAGAGTAATCAGACATAAGTCTTTATATTTTGGTTTGTTTTATTTGATTTTGACAAAGTACTCGAGGGCTATTTGCCTAAAGGAAAGGATGCTTTGTGGAGTACATTTTAGGGGAAATTGGCTCATATACACGTTATGCATGGGAAAAGCCACGAAAGCGCACATGCAGCCAGCCGTGCGCCAGGATTCGAACACCGGACCGGACTACGAGTGTTCAGCGACTTTACCGCTCTTCGCCCTGTATCTATATTTTAGAAGTGGGATAGAAAATTTCAGCAGTCGGAAGAGTGAAACAATTTTATATAAAAAGAAGTGATTGGAGCAAAGCGAAAATAAATGTAACGTGATATCTGTCATGGAAAGTAATAATGAAGCGTGGAAAAGCTAAGGTATTTGAATTTAAAAAGCGCTTTAAAATTAATGCTGATTACTAAAGAAGAAAAAAATTTATTAAACACAAATTTTTCTTCTATCAAAGGAATCCAATTTTAAGTTACATTTGTTTTCTCTTTGTTCCTCACACTTTTTATCCCAAAGAGCCCTTAGCCCAGAAGTGCTATTAATTTCGTTGTGGCATTTTGAGTCGAAAACTTTAAAAGTCTGAGCCACTTTTCAAAATTGTTGCTACCAAATATTATCGCCCTGTATTATATTTAAAGAAATTAAATAATGAAAGATCTACGTGATTTTATATATATTTCTCGCATTGTGATAAAACAACGGTAAATACAGCCATCAGATTTTGAATAACTCGCGTCTCCACCCGAATATGGGAATCTGGAAGCTCAAGTTTTGAATTTGTTTTATTGTGTATTTCATATTTTGTAAAGCATTTATGAGTTTTTGATTCAGAAACTCAACGATTTCAAAGCGAGCAATGGCAACACTTAAAAAAAACGCCCCTTTGGGCGTAATATAAAATCAGCATTCAGATTTTTAAAATATATCTGTTAGATTTTAAAAGAAAAAAAAATTTCGCTTTTATTCCATCTAAAATTGTTTTACTCTTCGTACTTCTGAAATTTTCTTTGCCACTTCTAAAATATAGAGACCTATATCTCATTACTCTCGAAATTGATTTCAAAACCTACGCTAAAATAAGGTTGCTTTTGTGTCCAATTTTAAAATCCATAGTTTCTTGAACATTAAATTAGGTCAGAACTCCATACTTACTTATTAAGCTCTTCTTTAGGTACCTTGGAAACAGATTTTTTTTCCAGATAAATATGTCTAAGTGTCTTTGTCTGTTAAATGTCCTGTCGGCTAAATGTCCTTGTCGGCAAAGTGTCTTGTCGACTAAATGTTCTGTTGGTCCGTGTCTGCTAAATGACATGAACGCTAAATGTACGTGTCGGTTAAATGTCCTGTCGACTAACTGCTGTCGGCTTAGTGTCTCCTCGGGTAAGTGGATGTTGGCTAAGTGTCCGCAACCGATATTGTCGTGACATTCTCTTGTTCTGTAATATCGACGTCGAAGGCATCAATAGTACGGTACAATATACAAATAATGTATTATTTTTGCGTAATACGTTGATAAAACTGAAGACGGTTACTAATAGTAATATCCAACGCATCTGATTGTATATTATATTGCATATGTTCTTTTTTTGTCCATCTCCTCAGAGATTGTATACACCGTAGTATAAATACTGTATATCGTTTGAGCATAGTATTTGCTTTAGAAGTGGATGCACGAATCATCTGTAGTAATTAAAAACGGTAAATGCTATTAATTCTTAACATGAATTGTGAAAATACATCGGACGAAAACGTCGCTGAGAAAAGCCAAACAAGGGAGGGGAGAAATATCACTGCCGAAAACGTAGCGACAGAAAATGAAAGCAAAGAGAAAATATTGCGGTTCTAAAACACGGTGGTCGGAAATAAAGCTATGCAAAAACTTTGCTGTTTTAAAATACCGTTGTGCAAAATGTCGTAGTAAAAGGTAAAGCATCTAACAAATTATCGCATGCTTATAACATAGCAGACATGTATTTTCTGACTATAAACTTTTTAAATGAAATTTCGCGCAATTATTTCTGAGCACAAGAAGTGAGTAATATTTTTACTCTTTTAATATTAGCATAAAATAGAATTTTAAACTTAACGTTGTTTACTAGGTGTTTTCTCCCTCCTTTCAGCATGCTTTCGTGGTGTAACGGTAGTAAACTCGGCCCCTATTCGAGAGGTCCAGGTTCGAGTCCCGGCCAGAGCATTGCTCATTTTTCGTGTCTTCTGCTTCAAAATAACCTATTGACTCCTCAAGTGGCGCCCGAACTAAAAGGTGGTGAACAGTAATTCATCAGCATCCGGATTTAGCGATTGGGTTCCCTTATAAGGTATTTCTCCCACTTTCCTAGCGTGCCTTCGTGGTATAGTGATCTGCACGCTGAGCCGGTATCCAGAGGTCCGTAGTTCGATTGCCGGCGAAGGCGGTTGCTATTTTTCATCTTTTCTGCTTCCAAAAATAAACTTAATGACTCTACAGTGGCGCCCGAAGTAAAAGGGTTTTGGATGAGGATTCTCCACACCCAGGATTTGGTGATTGGGTTCCCTAAAAAACCCAGTCGCCCTTTAAAAAGGGGAGTGTATAAGGTATTTCTCCCACTTTCCTAGCGTGCCTTCGTGGTGTAGTGGTCTGCACGCTGGGCGGGTATCCAGAGGTCCGTGGTTCGATTCCGGCGAAGGTGGTTGCTATTTTTCATCTTTCCTGCTTCCCAAAATAAACCTAATGACTCTATACCCTAATATCCAGTCGTTCTTTGAAAGGGGGGATATATATAAGGTATTGTCTCTCTCCTTTTTGCATGCCTTCGCGGTATAACGTCCAGGTTCGTGTCCCGGCGAGGGGATTGCTCATTTTTCATGCCTCCTGTCTCAAAATAAAATGACGCCATAAAGATTTTTATTTAATTAAAGTATTTTATAAGGATATACTAATAGATTTTCATGAAATAGCCTAAAAAAAAAAAATTAGAATGAGGAAGATGCTTCCTCAGTTTTTCGAGGTTCTGAATGTTTAAAATTTACTTCTTGCGTTTTCAGCAAAAATTTGCAAATGCAAATTAAATATACAGTATACAAAAATATTAAATATTAGTATAGTTGGAAAATAATAATATAAAGCTATTAATATAGCTAATATAAAAATATGAAGTACGATGATTTATAGGTACTTTAGTTTTTACCACGATATTTTGTACAACGATTTTTTTAAAATTGCTAAGTTTAGAATCGCATTATTTTATACTACGAAGTTTTAGAACTGAGAAGTTTTCTCCATGTTTTCTTTTTTCTCTCGCGACATTTTCGAACCTGATTTTTTCGCCGGATGTCACTTAAATAATCAAATAAAGTTTTTAAAAGGCATTTTTATTAGAAAATAATTATTCGCGTTTTTTAAAGCATTTTTGAGAACCGCTTATTTTGCTCTTTTCAGAACAGAAGATTTCATGAAGTCTCCTTTATCTACAGTTCGAACCATTTGTAAATTACAAAGCCTCAATTTGGCATCTGAAATCGAACTCATTATTGCTGCCTTCAAGTGGGCAGAACATCAAAATACAAGCAGCAGAAGAGCTGCCATTGAACCAGTGCTCAAGTGTCTTAGGTTCCTGATATTGGAAGCCAAAGATTTCAGCAACTTATTGAACCAGTATCCAGACATATTTACATCACATGAAGCTTTGCAAATCATGATGTATCTTAGTAATCCTGGTAAAGGTATAGATAAGCTTCCATCTTGGTGTAACAAAGGAACTAACCGTTGTTCATATGTGAAACCACCAGTGCCTTTAGTCGGTCCATTTGGTAAGTAAGGAAACAGGAATTATATCGCTAAGTGGTAGTAAAATAATTAACCTAAAACCTTGAATCAACAGCTGTAAACTTTCATCATGAGTCATAAGGAATCAGAAATTAGAGAAAAAAATAGCAAGCTATGCATCTTAACAACACTTTTTTAGTGGCATCTTTTACAAATGGAAATTTTAAAATATTCTGAAAAATTGATTCTGGTTCACATGTTTCATTCTGAAATAGTGTTGTAGAGTCCAATTGATGAACTTCTGCTGAAACTAGAATAGCAGGAAACTACACAAGAGGAGGCTTAAAGTACCCTTTATTAAATCTTTGAAAAGTTACAATGCGTCAACTCGACGTTAACAAACTTCGCCTCTGCTTGGGTGGGTAACTGAAAATCAGTTAACTAAACTAAAAACTTGAAGATATTAACAAACGATAGAACTAGACTACAGGGCTCAGCGAGATCCCGTAACTTAAGCCCCCTTTGAAACTAGTGGCAGCAAATAAATGCAATTTAAGCCACTTGGACCAGCAATAAACAAAACGCACCTACGGTAGAGGCGCGGCTAGAGCCTAACTCTTTTTCCATCTACCGAAACTCGGCTTTTAAATACTTCCTGCAGTAAAAAGTAGAAATTTGCATTCCTTCCCTCGCGCTACAACATTTACCTATTCTGGCACTGACAATTAGGAGAATGGAGAACATATAATAATCAAATTATAATAGCAACAATTTAATATAACTTATAATAATAACAATTTAAAGTCTGAACTTTAAATTGTTAGTTAAAATAAATATAAATCCTTGCAATGTAAACTTCTGATTCCTTCCGAATCAATTAATATTTTAGGTTTTCATGTCTATACTTCTGTAAAATGTTTTATTGACCGAAATTTGGTGATCATCCGGAGAACATTCTATAATTCTCTACTTGACAAAGCGAGTTCTACTTTTGTGCTTGAAAAAATGTAATACATCTATTACCGGCAGTGTAATGAAACGCCGGCATTGCCTTAACATACTCTTTGCCCGTATAACGACATTAAAATTTTACAATATTGCTGTTTGCCAGCAAGCTTAGGCCGCATTATAATAATATTATTCATTATACAAGGCTGTAATAATGAACGTGTAAGTTGGGACGCACATTCATTATTTTTATATTCTCTGCCTTGACTTGGATTATCAAAGCATTTGAAAAGTGAACCCCCTTTTTTTAGTTTTATATTTTGTTTAACCCTAATTAATAGTTAGAAACTATAAATATTATTTTTTATTTAATTAATGGTGAAACGTTTATTAGTTAATAATATACGTAACGACCTAATAGACTATAATTTGAAGTTTTCAGATAACAAATTATTTATACTGATTTATATATATATATATATATATATATTTTAAAATTCTAGATACAAAAATACCATCTGGGAAGAAGAAACTTGAAATTGCACTGAGACCTTTTTATTCGCAGAACTTCTTATCTAGTCTAAACTGTAACTTAGAGATTAAATGCAAAAGTGGAAAGTTTCAGATTATTGGACTGAAATTGCTTTTTCAAGAGCCTATAACGAAGCGGAGTCATATCGATACTTTGACAATCACGGTTGTAGTTAAACCAACCAATTTCCGGTATAAAGAAATATTAAAAATCACAGACTCCAAAGAAGTCGAGTTTACTTTTCAGAAAGGGATACTATTCTCTCAAGGTCAAGTGGCATCTATTCAAGCTTCAGCAGAGAATGCAGAATTTTATAACTTTCTTCAGTTCGATGAAGGAAACTTACCGCAGGTTGACCCACGATTTACATGTTCTTTAGGAAGTAGCGCTAAGGATAGTAAACTGTTTTTTATTTATGAAGTTTTTTATGTTGAACATCCTTTTAGAAGGCCTCCTAGCAGACGAACCAATTGGTAAATTATATATTTTTTTTCTCCTACATAACATGTAATATGCAGTAAATATTCCAAACATATACATTCTAAATTTTGATTTCATAGGCAATAAAATGTATGTGATGAAGGATATACTGGAAAATATGTATAGGTCCATACCTGGAAAATATGTTTTAATAACTTATTACAGACTTTAAATTTGTCTTTATTCTTTTTCGTTCCGTATTTTTCTAATGTTTTTAAAAAGTTTTCTTTTTCTATGGCTAAGATTTCAATAATTCATGGTACAACACTTGTTTGTAATACATCTACATGAATTAAAGCTAAATAAATATGTATTATTTTGGAGTCGCTTTTATTTATATAATATATTTTCGGTTTGCCTTTCCTTCGATTAACTTATCCATCTTCTCAAAGTAATAATATGCAAACATACGACATGCATGCAGTTAATTTTATAGTAAGATTCTAGTTTAACACTATGCGAAACGGCTTCATGTTACACAGTGTTAAATACTGACGCATGAATACAGTAATATTTCTACTTGTTAATACTATATATATAAAATATACAAATATTAGGTGCATAATTTACATAAGATACATAATTATTAGATGCACTATGCATACACGTACATAATACATAAGATACTTAGTACAATGCTGGAACAATTCATTGGTGCTGTTAGTTTTAGTGTAAGATCCTAGTTTAACGCTGTGTGGTACAGTGCCATGCTACAGGATGATATGCGCGGAGCCATGGATTCAGTTATACACATCCTAAAACACGTATACACATTATAGGCACGCAGTAATCATCAAAATAAATGCAATTTAAGCCACTTGGACCAGCAATAAACAAAACGCACCTACGGTAGAGGCGCGGCTAGAGCCTAACTCTTTTTCCATCTACCGAAACTCGGCTTTTAAATACTTCCTGCAGTAAAAAGTAGAAATTTGCATTCCTTCCCTCGCGCTACAACATTTACCTATTCTGGCACTGACAATTAGGAGAATGGAGAACATATAATAATCAAATTATAATAGCAACAATTTAATATAACTTATAATAATAACAATTTAAAGTCTGAACTTTAAATTGTTAGTTAAAATAAATATAAATCCTTGCAATGTAAAACTTCTGATTCCTTCCGAATCAATTAATATTTTAGGTTTTCATGTCTATACTTCTGTAAAATGTTTTATTGACCGAAATTTGGTGATCATCCGGAGAACATTCTATAATTCTCTACTTGACAAAGCGAGTTCTACTTTTGTGCTTGAAAATATGTAATACATCTATTACCGCCAGTGTAATGAAACGCCGGCATTGCCTTAACATACTCTTTGCCCGTATAACGACATTAAAATTTTACAATATTGCTGTTTGCCAGCAAGCTTTATCAGGTTCAATGTTCCTTCTAACCTTCTTCGGGAACATACAAGGACCTGACTCGGAACAGAGAGCTTACTAAAGCTATGTTCGCTAAATGTGGTAAGTAGACAGGATACAGACGAAGGGTATACAAAACCCTTTATTTTTCTCTATATACAATAACTTCCGTACTTCGGAATACACTGACCCTCCACTCGGAGTCTAACGTAAAAAAGTATAAAAATAAAACTAAACTCTAATTTAACTTTAGAATAATACACGTGGAAGATTGGCCTTATAATAACAGGAAGCGTATGTAGCACAGAGACTGTGAACACTACAATACGTTAATTTATCAAGAGGATTAAAACCTCTGGCCTGGAAGGCGAACAGCAACTGCGTAACTTCTAAGGTAAGCGGCCTGCGTTGACTTACGGCTTCCTCTCTAACTTGCTTGGCAAAAAGCCACAACTTAAGTACTTGGCGTTCGCCAGACAAACTTTGCATAAAATCCTTCACGCTTATAATTCTGGCCGGAAGTAGAAAATAAGAAGTGATAGTAAAGATTTAAAATAAAATAAACGTTAGTAAAACTTAAGATCCTTACATACTTCCCGCCAGAGTTAATTAGTTTGAAACTGAGGTCTAAAACGACCTTGTTGAAAATTTTTAGCTCTAGAATCTAACGCGAGGCCAACCTTTTACAAACATAACTTAGCTAGAAACTAGAAATTTAAAAGAAAGAAATTTGTTACAATAGCAGCTCCCAGGATATACAACAATCTTTTTTCATCTGTACTGCATCTAACCAGGAGCTTTTTTTATTCAATTCTGGTTCCTTCCAGAGATCTGGAAGGAAAACTAGTTTAATGAAATGTTACACAATGACATGGCAAGTAACATATAGAATTATACTGCTCTTAACATTCTTATTTCATTCATGACTATTTTAATTATCTCTCCCCGTGCTCTCTGACATGTGTTGTAAAAGAACACCAAACACGAATGTGTTTCTGTCTACGTATGCCACACTTCCTCCTACAATCAAAACACTAACGTGTTAAAATTCAAAATAACGAGACCTCTTAACACACCCTAATTTGAATTCTAAACCCTGAGGTACTATTCTAAAAGTGGCTAACTCTAAAGTGTAGCGTCAGAGAGCCTAACTACATCATGCAACCTTTACCACATATTCGCCATGATTTAATCTTTACAGTCACACGAATAACAAATTTTTAACATTACTTTCACTTTTACCATATCACGGTATTTCTTAACATTTAAAATAACAGTTCACATGTATATAAGAACATATCAACATGCCGTTAATTTTACACATTTGAAAACATACATTAGTAGTACATTGCTAACTTCTATTCTTTTCAAAGCAAGTGCCAATTCTTTCTACATTGAAATAATACTACATTTCAAAAAGTCTTTCAGACTAAAACTTCTTTTTCTGCTAGAATGTTTTAAATAAAATTTATACAATAACTTTTTACAATATTTAAGTCTTTACAACACCACGCTATTATACATCAACTTTAGTTTTACGCACGAGTAATTTAAAAACATAATACGAAAATCGGTCACAACTCATTTCTCCGCCCTTTTTGGCGATAAAGGTAGACTCGCATGAGGTAAAACTTCTTGAAATCTGCCACTTGCAGTAAGAATGAAAGATTAACTTAAGTTTGCAAAGTAACATAAAATTTTACTTATCTTTGTAATATTCGGACATCCTTTTCTGGGCCCAGTCTTTAAAGGTACTGCAGATAGTAGCTTGGTTTATCCTCCTTCTTGTACGGGCTCGCCCTTCAGTGCTTTCCTCTGGAAGCTTCCGTTTTTCACCAGTACGGCCACCCTTGAATACTTTCCTTTTCTCCTCTGCTTGTGGTCTTTGCCGTTTGATGGCAGCTGGTCTTGGCGGAACCGGGAAACTTCTGTCGTGTTCCTGCTTGGACCTCGTTGCTGGCCGTTCAAATTTTCCTTGTAACTTTTCCTCCGCCGCTGATGGCCCTTCCGCAGTTCGGCGACATTTGCTGCGGAGAGTCCTGTCTGATGAGACAGGACTCTCCGCAGCAATATATCTCCGTTTTAGAGCCGGGTTATAGTTGCCGTCATTCTCCTGGTTCTCTTCACATACGTCGTCCTTCTCCCTTCTTCATTCTGGGGCTGTTCGTGAACTCTCTTTTCTGGACGGTGGAACGGCTTCTTTTTCTTGCTACCTTCAATTTTTCCGCGGGGAAATTTTCTTTTCACTTGCTCCTGCCTCTTAATGGCTTGCCCTTGTACTTGTCGTTTTTCCACCTCTGGAGCTTGTGCCTGCGGTGTCTGCCGTGCCGGATCGTGCAAAAGATCTGAAAATATTTGCATTTTATTACGATCAAAGTAGGGTTTGATTTGAGCAATGTTTGCGGAGCAGGTTTCACCATTTCTGGCTTTTAACACTACTACAGCGTGAGGTATTTTTTCTATAACATATGGTCCTTCAAATCGTGGAAAAAATTTAGCAGTCTTATCTTCTGGTGCTGAAGAAAGTGAATGCTTAATTTTTAAAACTTCATCCCCTACTTTATAAGTTACTCCCCGTCGTTTCAAATCATAATAGAGCTTCTGTTTTCTTTGTGCTACTTCCGTATTCTTTTTTGCTTCGTTAATTAGTTTTTCTATATCACCCATTTTAAATTCTGGGGCTCTTTGTTGCACATAAAATAATTTATCTAACGGCGTTATAATCTTTCTGCCTAAAAATAACTCAGCAGGAGTTTTGCCTGTTGTATCATGTTTTGCGGTCCTAAAGGCGAAAGCAAATTCATTGACATAGTTATCCCAGCTTTTATGAAAATTTTTAACATAACTACGGATAATTTTCACTATATTTCTATTGACCCGTTCCGCTATATTTGATTGCGGCCGATACGGGACCATTTTTAAATGACGTATGCCCAGTTTTTGGCACATGTCTTCAAATAGATTACTTACAAATTGAGGACCATTATCCGATATAACTTTTTAGGGGCGCCCCGTATTTTAAAATATATTTATTTAAAATAGAATCAGTAACTAATTTCGCGGAGGCTCGTTTTAAGGGAACGATTTCGGTCCATTTACTAAAATGGATCGACCATAACAAGGAGATATCGACTTTTATTTAACTGACTTTTTGGAAAAGGGCCCAATAAATCGACGCCAATTATTTTATTTGGAAATTCTGATTTAATGCTATTTAGAAACCCGGCCGGGCGGAAATTAACATAATTAACCTACTACTTGGCATACTACTTGTTAACATACTACTTGGCATGTTGGGTAAGACCGGCCATACGCCCTTGTTAACTTTTGCAGTTTCAGGAAAGATAAACTGCTTCGCGTACGCGTTGGATGGTTTTCTGAATGCCACTATGAGAAGCTAAAGGGCTGTCATGGACTCTTGCAGGATATTTAATCTAAGACTAGCTGGGATAACAGGTCGAATTCGTTGTTGGAATTCGTAGTTTTTGTATAAAATAATAGACCATCTATTAGTTCGTAATGGGCCGCCCTATTTCTTATCGCCACAATATCTTGGTGGCTAAAATTTTCAGGATCCTTCAATACTCATAAATACTTCCAAACTCAGGATCCTTCCCAGTTTCTGTTATTACAGTTTTCTCGGAATTTATTGTACACGCTGTAAGCATTGCAACTTTTACGGTATTACCCTGTTCGTCTAATTTAATTCGTGATAGGGCATCTGCTACGATATTTTCCTTTCCGGGGTATGCTTGATTACCAGATTATATTCTTGCAGCTTGAGTGCCCATCTTATTAACCTTGGGGATAAATTTTTTCCCTGAGTACAATCTAGTTACCGCCGCATGATCAGAGTATACTGTTATCGGCGCCTTTCCAAAATAGACTCGGAACTTTTGCACTGCTAACAGAACTGCAAGTGCCTCTCTCTCGGTCGCGGAATAGTTTCTTTGTG